ACATATGTTTAATGTTTTAAGAAACTGCCGAAGTGTCCTCCAAAGTATATACCATTTTGTATTCCTACCAGCAAAGTACAAGAGTTCCATTGTTCCGTATTCTCACCAGCACTTGGTATTGTCAGGTTGATTTTGGGCTTTTTTCTACCATTCTAATTGGTGTGTAGTGGAATCTCACCCTGGTTGCAATTTGCATTTCCCTAACGCCTGAGGCTGCTGAGGTCTTTTCATGTGCTTATTCGCCATTTGTTTTACTTCTTTGGTGAAGTGTCCAAACATTTTTTTTTTTTTTAAAGATGACCGGTAAGGGGATCTTAACCCTTGTCTTGGTGTTGTCACCACCACACTCAGCCAGTGAGTGAACCAGTCATCCTTATATAGTATCCGAACCCGTGGCCTTGGTGTTAGCACCGCACTCTCCCGAGTGAGCCACAGGCCGGCCCAAGTGTCCAAACATTTTTGCCCACTTTTTTCTTTTGATCGTTTTGAGATTTCTTTAATTTTCTGGGTACAAGTCCTTTGTCAGATACATCATTTATAAATTTTTGGAGAAAATTCATTTAACAGGAAAATCTCTAAAAGAAGATGATGGGTGTGAAGGGACCTGAAAGTGAGATCAGAGTCTGGCAAAGGTGGGCCCAGGCGTGAGGAGTGGGTTACACCTAGAGAATGGCCCATAAAGAAGAGGAGGATCTTCCGTGAAGTGCTGTTCCTGAACCTGCCACTGAGTGTGCTTCAGAATAAGAGGCACATGTGGGCATCATGGTTTGCCGGGTGTCCTCCTTGGCTGGCCAGCTGTGCCTCGTCCTGTCCATGTGGCCTCCTGCGTTAGGCTGGGTTTGCCCCACTCAGAAAAACAAATGCTGGTGCCCAGCCTGGGTTCCAAGCACTTACATGGCCTTGTTTCCCAACCGTATGACCATGCATTCTGGAATGAGAGGTGGGGTGACTGTCAGACCTGCAAGGGTAAGCCACTGGGGGTGTGGCTGGTGTGAGAGAGGACCAGTGGGGGTGAGTTTTCTGGGTCAGGGTGGATCCTCTGTGATGGTGACCTCAGCCTAGGGTCTGAGGGCTTTGGGCCATTAGCAGAATTTCTAAAACATCTCAGTTGTCCAGGCAGGGTAGCTCTGGAACACAGCATTTCTATGAAAAATGACCAAGGCTAGGATGGACGCCGCCTCCCACCTCTTGTCCAAGCTCAGTCCTCTGTCCTCAGATCTGTGGCACTGTCCAGATGCTGGAGTCTTCATTCTTCTCAAGGACAGGCCCTTTTGCAGAGGCCATGGGTCCAGAGGCGGAGAGGAGGGCAGGGCAGAGGAACCCTGCTTTCCTGGAGCTCCTAGTGCCGGCTGCCTCCAGGCCCTGCAGGGCTCCTGCAGCCCCCCGTGTTCTGGGTTCTGGAGGGCTGCTTCTCAGCACTGAGAGCTGCCTGGGTCCTTCTCCTGCCTGGGCGGAGCATGCTCTGAGCCCCACACAGGGTGCCTGTGCACATGGGCGCCTGATTTGGGCTCATCCTCTGGTCCTGCAGGGTGGGGACAGTCTGTCTGTTGTCCCCTGAGGCTGGGGAATCAGGCATTTGGTGTTCTGTCAGCACCCTGGACTTTGAGGGGACTCAGTGGCAAGTCCTGTCATGCAAAGACCCTGCTGCGTCTGTTTCGAGACCCGCATTTCTATAGGACAGGCCTGTGTGAAGTGAGGGCAGCTGGTTTGGTTCAGTACTTTCATGACTTTTGACTTCTGCTTTATTTTAGAACCCTGAAGAAGGCTATGAGGAGAAAAGAGTGCAGGGCTTACTCTCCCCGCCTTTTTTTTTTTTAAATAATAGACTTTATTTTTTGGAGCAGTTTTGGGTTTACAGAAAAAATTGGGCAGAAAGTACAGAATTCTCGTGTTTGCTCCCCCCGCAGTTTCTCCGTTATTCACATCTTGCATCGGNGACAACACCAAATCAAGGGTTAAGATCCCCTTACTGGTCATCTTTAAAAAAAAAAAAAAGATAATATGAATCTTTTCGTGAACTTTTTGAAGACCCCTCATACATTTTATTTAACCTACTGTATCTATAATATTATCATTTTAACATGTAATCAGTAGTGAAAACTATTAGTAAACATCTTTTTCATACAAAGTGCAGGAAATCCAGTATGCATTTTACACTTAATGGCACGTCTCAGTTCAGACAGCCGTATTTCATGTCCGTAATAGCCACGG